CAGAAGCACAAAGGAATGGTGCACAAAATCGGAGGGGAGAGGCGGCCTTAGCTCTTAACATTGTGTAAAAACACACACAGAAATCTAGGGAAAAGCCAGCCTCCTGGGCGTTTTGTGCTCAGACTCCACTCCCCCGTGTTCAGTGTGAAAGAAAGCACGTCTGGGGCACTCCTGGCCTCCCTGACTGAAGTGACTGGAACAAGAATTTTACTCCTTTCATTTTCTTATCGCTGGCAGGATCTAAGTTCTTTTTTGTTTGTTTGTTTTTTAAGATTTCATTTATTTATTTTTAGAGAGAGGGAAAGGGAGGGAGAAAAAGGGAAAGAAACACTGATGTCTGAGAGATACATCAATCAGCTGTTTCTTGCATGTCCCTGACTGGGGACCTGGCCCACAACCTTGACTGGGAATTGAACCAGGGACCTTTCGGTTCCCAGGCCGGCACTCAATCCACTGAGCCAAACCAGGCAGGGCAGAAGTCAATATTCTTGTGTCTATTTAAGTTCATTTCCCAAAACTTTTCTCTCAGGTTCAGTTTTAAAGCATTCCTTTGATCTGTTGAGGGTAGTCTAAAAGTGCGGCTGACCGGGACACCTTGGACTGGACCATCTCACAAAACTTGGATTTCATTAAATTTTCTGTTTGCTCAGAGAAGTCCCAGTTTGTGGGCCTGGTGTCATTGCTGAAACCACATCCTTTCACTCTCACACACGTCCCTATTTAGATGATATTCTACCTATTTACCTTAAAAAATTATGTAGAGTAGTCAAGCCAGTGTGCGATTGGCTTAAATTTAATAATGAACTCATTGGTGTAAACAACATCCATGTTTTGGTAGGCTTCCACTACATGTAGTTAGTATTCAAAAATCATTTGGTTAGAAATTCTCCGCATCTGATGAGTGCAAATCAATGCACAAACAAGTGAAGTCCAAATCTCCCCGAGCACCCTTATACTCTGTATCGTGTTCCTGAATGCCGTATTTTACATTCTGACTTCAGATGTAAATGTATTATGTTGAATAATCATGAAACTCAGTGTCATCTAATGAGCCACCAGAAAAAAAACATGTCTTCTTGCATTTAAGAAATGTATTCTAGATTAATATTCGGTTAAGGGGAGGTAGAATATCTTTTTCCGGGGCAGGAAATATATAACTTTAAAATCTAGTCATCAGCCTCCTGATTCTGACAAATCATCTCTATTCTTTCTTCATAAACGAAGAAACCAAGCCAGGAACACGAGCTGTCCCTCTGTGAGGTGCGTAGCCCAGTGCTGGACACGCACTAGGTGCTAAAAAAAAGTTAGCTGTAAACCTTGTTATCATTAAGGTGGCAGCATGATTCCTCTTAGGGAGAGAACCTCACTGGTTTTCCCTGGTTTCTGAGTGCCTGGATGGGTCATTTGGACATGATGAGATCAGTCCTACAACCTTGTCTCAAACTGTTGCAAGGCAAAGGGAGGCTGACTATCCTTCCCAGGAGACGGGAGAAGGGCTGAGAGTCTGCGCAGATGGGGGCCCTGGGGGATGAGAGAGGAGGACATCCGGGGGCTGCTGCAGGTGCTCAGGGGAAAGTGAACAACGAGAGCTCCTGAGAGTCAGGGATTGTCTAAGGGCTTCAGAAGAAGGGTGTTCATCCAACACGGGGCTTTAACTTAACTATAGCGCTATGCTGGGTTGGCTATCACCCCCCTTCCTCCTGCCCCAGGCACCTTCCCATTTGGCCCCACTCTGCAGCTGGTGGGGTGGTGCATTCACATTCCATTCAGCTGGAGCCCCTTCTCAGAAAAAAGTGACCTGGCTGGAGAATCCCAATTCTCCTGTCGGAAATCATGCAGTGTAAACTCAGGCTGCCCAGGTAAAAGGGACCAGATGGGGTTGCCCCTGAAGGTTGTTAATTACTGTTCAGGAAGATTCTCAAAGTGTAAAAACCATGATCTCACACACACATGTGAACATGCATCAATGATTTTAACTCATTAACTGAAGAGAGAGCTGATAAGATGTTCCGCTAATTCAGAGGAGAATCGAAGGGATATAAGCAGTCAGGAATGATGGCATGAAGTCGCTAGTATGTACATGCAAAACGGAACCAAGTTTGCTACTGGTACCTATTAGGTGAGGAAATGAGTGTATTAATAGATTAATACCTACAAGTGCTAACATGTCTTCTTTGAAGTCTACTTTTCAACAAGTCAGAAGTACTGCATTTCTATATGAAAAAAATCATTTGCATTTCTATGGGCTAGACTCATTTGCATTACTGTTTTCTATAACTGATAAATGCACACCCTGAAAAACCTGCTCCACAGCCGCCAGCACTCCGCTGAAAGACACTCAGTGATATCTTGCCATTTCAGTCTTTCAGAACTTTTAGGGCCACTTAATTAACCTACAAAGTGGGAAGGCCGCTCTGAGGATTCCAGCTGTGCCTGAACCGCCTGCCACCACGTAGCTCCTCGGCCAGTGATGCTTTACCATGAGGAAGCCAGGGCAGGACGAGAGTTTACTTTGGGGGTGCTCGTGAATACACTCCACTGTGAGACAGCCACAGTTCGGCTGCAGTGTTTCTCCCACCACAGACGCTGCCACTCGGATGGTTGTTTTAGAGCTCCAGGTCTACCTGCCGTCGCTGTTCTGTACTTGGCTGGGAAACTGGTCCAGATTTCCCTCCTGACGGCCCAGCGGTCAGCCCAAAAGGCCTGTAAGAAATGTCTAATCTTGCTGCTCCTTTGTAAATATCCTCAATAACTACAATACTGGATCATTAGCATTATTTTTATGTAACACTTATAAGTGCAATTCATCATTTACAGAATAGAGCTTTCAGCAGTGTGATGAAAAGCCAGATGATAATAACAGAGGCGGGCCTGTGACTGCTCGGACAAACATGCCCAGAAGTGCCCACTAGGAGGCAGTGTCCCTCTCAGGGGAGCTCTCTGGTGGTACATGTCCATCGACCTTTCCTGATCAACCTCAGTTCTCAAAGATTCCCGTAAGGACAGAACAGTTTCACCGCTTACACAATGCACAGAAGGGTGATAACTATGATGGGTGACCCTCTAAGTTCAAAATGATTTCTATGGTAGATGAAAACCCAGAAGCTGGTATGTGAAAAGGATAAGTATACCGTCCTGCCCTCAGGTTCAATAAATCAATGACACAAATGAGGTGCAGAGGCCATCACGGCAGCTGTTTAGGTAAAAGACGAAGCAGGTTTCAGGTAACCCTGCGAGTGGGCGACGCCATGCAAACCTGCCGTGTGACACAGCACTAAAGCAGTTTATGTAAACTCAGTCTCACTAGTAGAAGCAGAGGCAGCTGGATCACAGGAGGTGGCATCTGTGTCAGGAAGACACACACATCTTCAGGTGACACATGGGGTTCAGTTAGTGGTGTCAGATTTTAGAAGGGCCTGGACGAACCTGAGAAAATCCAGCCGAGGCTGGAGGGTGGGCGGCCTGGACCTCCGTTCATGTGAAGATGTCTGAAAGAAGTGGGGTATTATGTTCCAAAAGAGCATCCCAAGTGGTGCCATTCATTTTTTTCAAAGACTTAGGCAACTGTCACCTAGAATAAGGAAAGATGTGCCCTGGCCAGGTAGCTCAGCATCAGCCTGATATGCACATACAAGAATCAACCAGTGAATGCATCAATAAATTGAACAACAAATCAGTGGTTGTTTTTTTCTCTTTCTCTCTCCTCCTTCCCTCCCCCTTTAAAAAAAAATCAATCAATAAAAAAATTTAAAAAAGAAAGATGCATTCAATGCTTTTCCAAAGAGAAGATTCTGCTCCAATGCACAGAAGTAACAGGGAGACACATCCTGTTTGCCTAATAACTACAGCTGATTGAAGACGTCATAGAATACTGTGTGAGGTAGTGAGTGTTCATCTCTGGAAATATCTGGGCAGAGAGTGGGAGAACCCTGAAGGGATGTTGCAGAAGGGGCTCTTACATGGGTGGGAGGCTGGGTACCATGCTGAACAGGCGCCCAGCCCAATTCTAAGACTACCTAACCACTGAGTAAATCAGTGCATGGAAATCAGCCGTGGGGAACTAGGTGATTGTTATTGTTTTTGTTCTGAGAGAATATAAATCAGTGTTTCCCCAAAGAGAGAAGATCATGTGAAGACGCAGGAAGGAAAAGGCAGCCAACTACAAGCCAAGAAGAGAGGCTTTAAAAGAAGCCAACCCCTTTGGAACCTGTGGGTTTCTTCCCTCCGGAACTGGGAGAAGATAAACAGTATCTGTTCAAGCCACAGAGTCTGTCCTTTGTTGTGGCAGCCCTAGCAAACCAATTCAGTTTTTTTCTACTTCCTCTGACTACAGTGGTTTGGATGGAGTTTATCTGCCCAAATCAGAAAATACTGCTAACGAGAAGCAGTCCTGATGAGATTAACAACAAGCTTCAGGCCTCAAGACTCTGCAGCTGCCAACAAGGGGCTCATTCCTGCCTGCAGCCCCTGCAGCCTGGCCCAGAGGAGCCTGGTGAAGATCAAGGCGGAACACGCTCGCTTAGTCACTCAGTGACCCCAACCAGGCCTGACTGCTAGGCAAGACGATTGCTTTCTGGACCATGTGAAGAATGAGTTCATTATAATGCGATTTTCTTCTTTATACTGTTTCGTATTTTTCAAATTTTCAACCTGGATTTTAAACAAAGGAGAAATAAAAAATTTAAACAGTAATCTGTGTCATTAAAATAAAGTATGAGTCTTTTTCCCCGAAGTGTTTTTATATTCTGGAGAAGTCAACAAAAAAAGCGGCAAGAACAAAGTATAAGATTCAGAACAAATGATGAGGATCACTGTTTACTCAATAGAAAAGGAAATTCATAGACTAAACCATTTTTTGGACAATTGCTTTTAACTTTGTCCATTTTATACCTTTTCTGCTAGCTGACCGGCTTTTTGGAAAGCTAAGTGGAAAGACATTACCAAAGACCACTTCACTGAAAACATCCGTTTTCGTGACATTGAAGAAAGACAATCATTACCTTCATGTCCACCGACGGGTCGCCCTGCAGCAGTGCCCACTCGTACCGGACGATGGCATGGTCATCTGTGCTCTGACGGCCGTCCAAAGTCACCTCGTCTGTGGGCAGACGCAGAACCACATCCTGCCCGGCCTTGCTGAGGGGAGGCGCATCCTTTCCTGGAAAGAAAATAATTCACAGGAGAGATGATTCCCTACTTTTCCTAACCGAGAGGTTATCTTGTTTGCTAGGGCAGAGGTAGTCCAGCAAAGAACTGCTAAGAAAGTCTCTAGCAACGGGAAGTTATTTTCCTATTGATTTTTGTTCTATTTTCTTTACATAACAAACAAAATTATGAATACAGAATTTAGCTGTAATACATGCAGGAGAAAAGTATGGCGTGTCAGGGATGAGCAAGAACAAGCTCGTGGTGTACAGCAAGGAACGAGGCTGTCCAGTGTGTCCGTCTGAGGTTGTTTTTTTCTCCAGAGGGAACTGCTCACTTAATTTTTAAACCACTTACGTTTCAAGTTCTGTTCAATGAATTTATAACAAAAATTCTTGAAACAAACCTTAAACAAAACTAAGTCCACCTCTGATGTACATTTTCCTTGTCCTCGAGTTTTTAAAATAGGAGTAATATAAAGTGTTCAATGGATGGGAAACAAATCACACTGGAAAGTTAAGACAAGTTTTTGGACCCGTACAAAATAAAGCCCACATGAACTTTTCTGGTGTCTAGTTTTTCATCTAGGAAAGCAGAAGTCCACAGCTTCTAATAAACTAATTTTTATAACAGAAGCCAGCACACTGAGTTTTGAGTTGTCCCACAAAAGCAAAACAAGTATGTATAATATTTACCTGTGACCTAGAATGGAACTAAATAGTTTAAGGCTACTTATATTCACTTAAATGTTTTTTTTTAAAGATTTTATTTATTTTCAGAGAGAGGGGAAGAGAGGGAGAAAGAGAGAAACATCAATGAGTGAGAGAAACATGGATTGGTTGCCTCTCGCATACCCCCAACTGGGGACCTGGCCTACAACCCAGGCATGTGCTCTGACTGGGAAAAGAACCAGCAACCTTTCAGTTCCCAGGGTGGTGCTCAATCCATTGAGCCACACCAGACAGGGCTAGGTTCACATAAATATTAATAACTAACTGACAGCTATTTCAGTGATAACTGATGGGAGAAGCTGCATTTTTAAGAGTGGAGTTGTGACTATTTTAATTGATGCTTACTAATAAAGTAAGCATACACAAATGCAGATATATTTTAAAGAAATTCAGTAGTATCACTGAAAACACAAACTCTACAGGATGGTGTACACCCTTTTTGGTATCTACTATTTCTTCCGTCCCCCAGTGCCAAAGCTCTGGTCGAAATGCTGGCCTGGACTAGTTCCTCCTTGCCTCGGTCTGAACAATGTTGAAAGTGAGGCACTGTCTTTCTTCTTCCGCGGCCAACGCTGTCTCCTCAGCAAACTTGTGTGGGACCCGAATGTCCCAGGGCCTGATGCATGCGGCTAGCTGCAATCCTAGCAGTTTCGCCAGAGCCAACAACAGGTAATTGCTCTTGACAGGTTGCAGCTAGAACGAGGCTTCTGAAATGCTAATCTAAAAGTTGCTCCTGATCTAGCGGTCCTCTTAGTTTGCTTTTGTTTTAGGTGTGGTTGTTAATAACTGTGAGTTTGCTATCCTTTCACTGTTCATATTTTTATCTTCTTTTTCTTAGATAAGTCCCCTTAACATTTCATATAATAAGGAACCATAGAAATGAAGATCACATGGAGGGTTAGCAACAGGGGAGTGGGAGAAGGAGAAGGGGGGAGAAGGTACAGAAAATAAGTAGCATAGACAGTAGGTAGAAAATAGATGGGGGGAGGGCAAGAATAGTACGGGAAATATAGAATCTAAAGAACTTGAGACACGTGGACATACACTAAAGGGAAGGATGGTGGGGGAGGGGTGTGCAGGGTGGAGGGGAATGAAGGGGGGGGAATAGGACAACTGTAATGGCATCATCAATAAAATATTTTTTAAAAAAGTTGCCATTCCCTTTCGGATGTTTAGAGACCTACCTGTCCAGGCCTATCTTCTCAACTAGTGATTCTCTCAAGGCCCAGAAACAGGGCCTTTATGTGAGGGGGCTGCAGCTCTCTGAGCTACCACTTTTCTGAATGAGAAAGCCACTGCCAGCCTCAAAGGGAGATGCCTTTTTTAACATGCATGTTACAAGGAATAAGTGCACTTGAATGTCTACTGAGAACATAATGAGTCCCATTTTTAGAGTCCTTTAAAACCATGGGGACTTGTAACTCAGGTTTCAATAAGCAACTGCTTAAGAAGAAACCTGTTCTGACTTTTTCCTCCTCTGAGCAAAGATCCAAGCTTGACGTCTTCTTCTGCTTCTCCCAGGTGAAGAGAGACAGAATGACTGCATGACTAATGGGCCCTTTTATAGAGGTTAACAGAGAACTCTCCTGTGGCTTTGGGCTTTGGCTTTCCACACAATGATTTACCACGTTATAATTTTGGAACGCATCATATAATTCTGCAGTAATATATTAGGATTACCAGCTATTTGCATTGAAATGTATCTTAAAATACTACTTGCAAGTAGAGAAGCTGAAATATAACTATATGCTATAAATACCAATGGATGCTAAAAATGTGTATATGTCTATACACACACACACATACATTTAAAACTTTGAAGATTTGACCCCAAAGATTCCAGATAGGAGAAGCAGGTAGGTGCTGAAATAGCCCCACATATTTTAAAATTAATTAATGTTGCCTTGCTGGAAGAAAAAAAAGTCATTTTTTAATTATTTTCTTTTCTTTAGTGAGTTTTAAGATGGGATTTAAAAGCACGGTGAAACCCTCATATCCTGAACATTGATCACTGTTATATTTGAAATAACAGAGACACAGTTCCCCCTCAGTTCAAGTCCAGGCAAATTACACTGCACGATGTATTTTAAAATAAGACGGAGCTTCTCTACTCAGTAATAGGCCTTAAAAAAATAAACAAATGATGACAAGAAGGGGAAAGGAGTATGCTACACTGAAAAATATTTGACTTGCCTTTGAAGCACAAGATAAAAGTAATTTTGAAATTGCATCATAAAAATGTAATAAACCAATGTTAAGTACTATGGTAATATTACTCATTTCTTTCCAAAACTAAACGTACTTGATAAGATCTACAGGGAAAAGACACACCAATTTTGGTGGGGCAGATCAACTGGCATTTTACACAGAGAATAATGATACTGTTAACTGACTGACTTACAACACACAGCTGTCGACACGGCCTTCCTGACAAGGACGGGGCTCTGCCATCTGGATTGTGCTGTGTGGGCACTGATGACACAGCAGAGGCTGAGACCTTAGCAGGGCCTCCCGAAGTCAAGTTACAGAAGTGGAGCCAGACCGAAAAAGCGGCTTGGGTAGTACTGGTGAAATCCCATCATTTTTTAAACTGTGTTTTTTAAAAATTGCAACCTATTAGAAAAAAATGGTCCATAACCTCAGTGTGATTATCATCATTTTCAGTTAGTACTATTCTAGTCTTTCTCCTCATGAGCTGATGATAATGTCGGTTTTGTACAAATGCGCATAGAGAATAAGAAAAAGGGATTTCGGTTTTCTGCTGTTGGGACTTTTGAGTCTGCCTTTGCACAGAGAGGAAGGATGCACATGTACCGTCCATAGGCCTGGTTCAGGGATGCTGGTGGGGGTCCAAGTGAAAGTGCCTCCTGCCACCACTTCAGGGGAAAATTTGGGGTTCTCCCCAGTGTCTGCCTCTAGGATGAGTGATCTTCCATGTTTGCTCCCGTGACAAGGGTTCTGAGCCTCCTCTTTGGTGGAGGTGGGTAGGGCATTGTGCACACAGACTTCCAGAACCTCCTCATTGGCCCCGCAGGTCAGGGAGACTCCAGGTTCCCAAACCTACTGAATCTGCTCACCTTGTCTTGAATCAAACAGCGAGAGTGAGATCAAACACTGAGCCGACCACAATCAAGGCTTTTCATCCCTCAGTGATCTTAACCTCCAACTATCACGCTCTGTGCCTCTTTTTATGTGTCTTGATTCTTGCCTTCTGAACATCTGCATAAAGTAAAACTATCACTTGAAAAGCATGACTTTAGCTTTTTTGAAAAAGGGGATGTGCCCTAAACGTTATTTTCAACTAAAATCAAGTCCCTTCTTTTCACGCTGTGAAAGGGAAAATTTCTATTCCGTAGAAATCAGATGGACCCACTTCCAAAATACCCGACAGGTGCTCTTCCCTATTTTCATCTGATAAAAGCAACTACAGGTGGGACCATAAGTCAGGAGAACCAAACTAAGTAACGGTGTGTTATGAATAACCTGGGATGTAATTAGATTTTGCTTTTGCAATTACTTGACACAAACTATACCCTATTAAAACCGGAGATTAAAATAAACGAGGTTTATTTTGGGGAGGGGGGGGCTGTATGATTTTTTTTCTCTCTGGGATTTTCTCCTTAAAAGTGAATTTCCGTGAATCCTCAGATCAGCCTCTACCACCAAGTGTAGAAAAACTGCAAAACCAGCCGAGTGTGCCTGCTTCTGCCCAGTCTACAGGGTTTTTTTTTCAGAAATCATCCCTAAGACTGAGAAATCAAAGCCACTCCTCTGAAGGCCCGCAACTACGATAATTTGGAACAAGGATGTTTCATTTCTGACTTGGCTATGGAGGGTCCAGTGGTCATGGCAAGAAGAATATTCCAGAAGCAGCCACCCAACTGGTGCAAGGACAACAGGGCCCAAGCGGTCTGGCCCCAGCCTCCTTCAGTGGCCTGCTTACCCAGTCCAGGCGAGGCCCGGGCGGTGACGCCAGTTTCCAGATCTTGCTGCCCTTCCAGGGCGCGGCTGAGGCTGTAGCTACTGTAGCCCCGGCGCAGCGCGAACCTGCAGACGCTGCGGCCGCTCGCGGTGCAGTTGAAGAGGTAACATCCGAGCGCGGGGGCCAGGGGTGCGGGCCGCCGGGGCAGTTCCACCACCGCCACCGAGCAGCGCGGCTCAGAGCAGCAAGCCGCCACGCACTGCCGCCAGTCCCGCACGGCGGCCGGAGCCCTCAGGAAGCTGGCGCCCGCCGCGATGGAGTCCTTGATGCGGATGATGGCGTCGGACATGACGCTGTAGCTGCCGCTGCCCCGGCTGGGACAGCTCTGCTGCGGCCCGCGGCTAGCACGCAGCTCCAGCTCCTCTTGCGGCCGCTCCTGCTGCAGCTGCCGGCGGAAGTCTTCCAGGAGCTGCTCCACGCCGGAGAGCTGCGCCTGCAGCTCGGACAGCTGCGCCGGGGGCGGCCCGGCTGCGCGACCGCTCGACAGCCACAGGCAGAGCAGCAGCAGCCCGAGCAGCGCCGGGTGCCGCGGCGGCCGCCTGCGCTCGGGGCCCGCGCTCTCCTGGGAGGTGAAGGCCATGGCGACCGGCGCCAGAGAACGTGAGCCGAGGTGGGCCGTAGAGCACGAGGCAGGCAGGCAACCGCGGGCCCAGTGTTTCTCCGGCGCGGCAGCTGCAGGCGGAGGCCCTGGAACCTCAAAGCGCGGCCTCCCGGGAGCCCAGCTGCGCCCCCAAGGCCGCGGGCGCGAGGTCGCCGGAGGGAACCGCAGCCGCGGGAGTCATAGCGGGCGCGACCTGGCAGCCCTCTTCGTCTTTCCGGAGGTTTCGCTGCGCCCCGCGCCTCTCTTCCGGGACCTCGGGTGCGCTCTGTGGCCACAAGGGGCCTGTGCGTGGATCAGCACCAGGAGAGTAACAGCGGCCGCGTCTAGTCCGGGGCCACCCCTTCCCAGGCCGCCCCCACGCCCGCGCCCCGCCCCCCGCCACCACGGCCCAGCGCCTGCGTCTCAGTCGCCGCCCATGGCCCCGCCCCTTCCTTTGCTCGCCATAACCCCGCCCACTCCCGTCTCCAGCGCACCCAAAGCAAGCGACCCAAAGTTGGGAGGTTAGCTTCAGGGTGTGCTAAGCTGGAAACGGTTGTCCTGAGCTAGGGAGCGTCCGGAAAGACAGTCACATACGTTTGTGTCTTTCCACAATTCAGCTTTATTAGAGGAGCTCCCTCCAATAAGTCAGTAGAGTCACAGGTTGGTCACATACAGTGTGGGGAACTTAAACACAGAAGTGAGCAGAACGGGCGTCAGGCACCAAGTCCCAGACACTGGCTGGTGGAGCACCCTCAGTGACGACCTCCGTGGATTTTCATTTATTCCACTAACCAGGATGTATGCTGACTCTCACTACAACTTCCTATGAAAAACAACAGGTGGCAGCAAGGGGTCACTCAAGCTCGTTTTGCAGTACCTGTATTACAGGATCTAAAATGAGAAAACAGGTTTGCGAGGAAATAAAGATTGTATCAATGCAGAAAGGAGACAGGATAATAGAAAGTTCTGGAAATCTTAATGCCTTCACAATACTACGCTGTAGTAATTAATTAGCCACTGCCTGGCACAGTCGATAAAGCCAATCTTTTTTATTAGTATATACCAGCCAGACCTGCTCAGGGTATCAATTCAAAGGGGCATGAGCTCTTGGGGAGCAGGGGCTCTCCACACATCCTTATGACTTCAGGGTCTGCTCCAGACACACCGACTAGCTCAGCTGGGGAACCACCAGACACCATGTTCAGTTCTTCACCTCCAGCGTCCCTGATGGTTTCCACACCAGGTCCCTGAGATGTGGTACATGGGCAACACCGTGCTGTTGAAAAATAAAAATCAGTAGGCACATTTACTCTGGTTTCTACGGACACAACTTGAAATATGAACACAGCCAAATATGGAGACCCAATGAGTTATCTGTGCAGTCTATGGAAAGGCCTTCAATTAGATCATGTGGGATCAAAAGGAGGCATGTTCGAACACACAGTAAGGCACATGAAAATGTCCAACCCCGGGAGGCTATACTGGGGAGTTCTAGCTGCCTATGAGCACCTTCTGCATCTCGTTTATTTCTGAGTCAGTTTCCGTTCACTCATTTTACTCCTGCTTTTGGATCGCATTTTGTTGCTTTTTCATGCATCTGAATATTTTTTGATTGCATGCTTGAACATTATGAATTTTACATTGTTAAATGTCTATATTTTTAGGGGACAAATATAAATAACTGGATAGAAAAGTGCAGTCTCTGCTATAATGTTTTATTTTTGGAACTGACATTTAGGAAACTAGCTTTCAGACCCAGAACAGAGTAGGAGGTAGAACTAGAAAGTAAAAATAGAAAAAAGAAAGGGAAAAAAGTTAGCTCAATATTTTTTTGTCATTCCGTGCAAAGGAGAAATTTTAAAGCTTTTTTGGGTCCATCTCCTAGTGAATTTGAAGCAGAAAAAAGTGGCCTCTTAGTCCAGGCTCTGTCTGGAGTGTACCACCACGGGCCGCAGACTATTCCGCCTGTGAGATATCTACCCTGCACAACTGTGGGGTAAGATGCCCTTGAACCAGCATAAGGATTTCTTTTTGCCTTAGGCCTCAGAGAGCTTAAGTAGGCTAGTTATGAGAAGAAACTTTCACAGGTTATAAAAATGGTCCCCGAAGGTATCATCAAACCTTTAAAATACCAGGTATTATAATAAATATGAACATTAAAAATAAACCTGTACGCTAATATGACATAATGCTAACCAACAATTGTGTATGATTTCAAAGTGTACCAGACACGTTTCTATACATGATTTCAAATGGCTACCGTGGAGTGTAAGGACTCGGCACTAACAACGTGCATTATTTCTGTGTAGAGATGTTTCTGGGGAGCAGGCTTTGGGGAGACCGAGGCTCACCTCTCCCAAGTCCTTCCCAGACCATGTCCTGCCCAAGAGCCAGAGGCCAGCCCGCTGCTCACCTTTCATCCTGCCTGACTTCCACAACCAAACACCCAGAAAGATGAAGATGAAAATGGACCTGAAGATGCCACCGATAACCCATGAAATGTTTTTCTGTGTACTCGGAGGGGATGCTGAGGACTGTAATGGTGGTGCTAAAACAAAAAGGCAAACATCCTATCAAATATAAGGCACCTAACAGCACCTGCTTCCCCAGGCAGCACATGTCACCCCCATATTTACTGACTCATCATGTGACAGCCACCCTGTCAGGTCCAGGGGTAGAAAGATGCAGAGGGGTTGTGCTGTGTCCTCAAGGGTCTCACATTCTACTGTGCAAGACAGTAAATATCCATCTGTTTATAGTACAGTTTGACAAGTTTACTATGCACAGACCTTTTTGAGGATGACAGAATTGGGGGTGCTTAATTCTGTCCAAGGAAAGAGGTGAAGGCTTCATAAGAGGTGACCTTTGACCTGGTTATAGGATGACTAGAACATGGGAAGAAGAGAAGGCCTGGAAGCATTACAATGCACAGAGATTTGGGGACCATCTAGTAATGCCTGATGACTGGACCACTGCTTAGTGCAGGTGGGAACTCCTATGCTCAGGAGGTGGGATGGGATTTCGGAAGCTGGTGGGAAAGCCCATGGCAGGGCCTTGTTCTCCACACAGGAAGTCCACCAGGAAATCAACCAGTCCATCCATCTGTCAAATTTTCCATTATACACACACACACTGTCACAGACACAAGGAAGGCATTAGACCCTTAATGAGACCTACCACATCCTCCGCACCCTACACACTCACCTGGGGTCTCCGGCACTTTCTCCCTGTGGTCTAAGAATTTTCTGAGGAAGAGAATGCATTCTCCCATTGAGAACTTCCTGAAAATCTCCACCCATCCATTCTTCTCCCAGTCCTCCATGACCCCTCTGGCTCCAGGACTACCAACAACTGTCCAGTTCCTGCTCATTGGTTCCAAGATGAGGGTGGTCTGTCCACTGATGTTAAACTTCAAGGGCCCACCAGTGCATTGTCCTGCCTCACATTGGCAGGACAGCTCGGCCTGCAGGGTGGGAGGACCTGCAATGCACACACAGGGGCGTCACCCTGCCTCTGAGAGCTCTGCCAACTCCCACAGTCACGTGTGTCCCTGCACATGTAGGGGCTGTAATATCCTCTGCACACCGTGCCCTTTTCTTGCCCTCAGGGTCACCTTGGCTCTGGGGTTGGACCAGGGTTCAGTGCCCTCCCACCAAGCCCCTCCCTGCCTCTGCCCACTCCTTCCCCGTCTCCTGCTCACTGTCCCCACCTCCCCTCTCTTCCCCTCACTTACCCCTGGTCTTGTTTCCCTCCAGTCTGATGTCAGGCAGGATCATCCTGAAATCTCGCCCCATGTCTCCCAACATTTGTGGCAATTCTGTCCACACTGTGGTGGACTTTAGCTTCTCTCCCAGGGGACCCAAAGGTCTGACCTCATTGCTGTCACTGTCGTACTGAAGGATACGCTCTTTATCCATTGAGCCATGGCCTTCACACCAGGGCTGTCCAGGTCTGGACTGGGATTGGACAGTGAGGCTGATGACAAGAGAGTGGGCATCTGTGGAAAAAAACAAAACAAAACAGGGGGGTGGCCTGGGGACTCCCTCTGAAGGGCCTGGCTGCTGAGAGATGGGTCTCCACCCCAGGTCTCTCCATCTCTGCAGCCTTGGTCTTGTCTCACCTTTAACTGTCTGGGGTTTAATAAAATACTCCAGTGCTACCATGGACCCTGTTACCAGGAGGATTCATCTGACAGATGTTTGTAGTTACATCCACCAAGTTGTGAGTACAAAAATATAAGATTTTATGTGTCCTGCCAGGACTTAAAATCAAGTTGAACAGACAAGGATTAAAACACAAAGGGAAGAACACCATCAGCACATGCCATTCACGTTGGGTCCTAGGTATTCAGGAAAGGCTTCCTGGAGGAGGTGGGACCTGGCAGGAGAGCACAGTACTAGGTGCCATGCCGTAGGTTGGGGTCCCCTGTGACCTGGGTGTAGGCAATTAGGCAGGATAGTGAAAAGCTAGGAAAATTCCTTCACAAGTAGAATAAGAGAAACTGAGACCAAATAATTAAACAAGGGCAAACAATTTGAGCGATTTACAGCCAGTCAATGAGTCACAAAGTTTTATCTTCCCAGATTGTCCCAGGGCAGACTGACTTCAGTCCTGGTCCCTCTTCAACAATGTTCTTTAAAAATAAAACCAACCAGAAAAAAATAACCCTGCTCTCTTTACACACACATGTTGATGAATCAATATAGAAAGATAAAAATCTTCAAGACCAGGAATCCATGGCTGCTCTTCCTAGAGCACATGCCCGCCCTTGTCTCTTGTGTTCTCCTAAACTCTGAGGGACCTCATGTGACTTGCAAGCAGAGGAGCAGTGAGCAGCAGCAGCTCGTCTTGGGTTTACCCCTGAGCCTGTCTCCAAGGCTCCATTTTTCTCTGACTTCCCGGTGAGCTCATTTCTTTTACTGAGACTTCTGTTCTTTAGGGAGCCAAAGCAGCCCTACCCAGGCTCTCTCGTGATGCTTCTTCTATCTCAGCCTTTCCTTTGTTTCACTGTCCCCAGGTTTAAAAACGTCCTCTCAAAATCACCTGGACTCATGAAGTAAAATCTTTCCTATATGAAGTCAAGAATCTGCACACTGCTGGCAGGCCTGAGGCAGACAGCCTCCAGGCCCAGACCCCACCCAGTCACAGTAAAGTCCTGGGTGTCCATCTACCTACGCCACACCCTCACCTACCCTTAAGAGCACCTGGAC